GGATCAGCGCAATGAAGTTATCCAGGAGGTATAAAGCTTGTTCAAAGTATTTATTCAAGACCCTATCAATGGGGAGATCTAGATCTAATGGAGCAGCCGAATTCAAGGAATGGAAGAGTGCATACTTTGAGGATCAAAACATCATTTACAACCTATATATAATGCTACCTTAATTAGCATTCAATTTGCGCACTCTTTCACAAAGTCTTACACTGAAAATCTTGGTGCATCTATACCAAATATATCCTGTACTGTTGTGTGTGAAGAAGATCTTGCAATCAGATCATGAAGCAATGAAGAACGCCTGCACATCGGATCCACTGGAGTAGGTTCTGGAGTAGTTATAGGTTATAATGTAGAGTGTAATTAACTATCCTTTTGTACTCCGTTTTTCATCATAGTGGATTTGGGTTGATGTGAGTGGCCCCGCAGACGTAGGAGTGAGGCTCCGAACTGCGTGAACATATCCTGGTGCATGCTTTCTTTTACTGCTATTTATTTCATGTTCTTTGTTATATCTAGAATATGTTTTCATCTAGTCCAGCGTGATAATTGAAATAAATTAAATGTTCTAAAGGCTTTATCTTGCATTCAAGACTCACGTGCCTTTTCAAACTTAAATCACAGCTTACTAGATATCCCCTCTTTTGGTCTCAACTATAATTCAGAGAGCTTCTTCAGAAATCTCATAGCTTACGAGTTATATTCGCCTGATCTGCATCCCAAGTATTTCGTAAGTTTTGCCTTATTCATGGACGATCTTATCAATACAGACAAGGATGTCATCTTACTCCGCAAGAAGGGAATTTTTGTAAATGGACTAGGTGATGATGCAACGGACCAACGGTGAGTCATCTTTTTAACAATCTATGCAGAGGGGTTACATATTCCCATGCTGACTTCTATTACGAGGATGTGTACAAAAAATTGATTCAACATTGCAATATACCTTGGAATGTGTTGAAAGCAAAACTAAGACGCGATTACTTTCACAGTCCGTGGGCAGGGATTTCAACCATTGCAGCAATATGGCTCCTTTCTCTCACTACTGCACAGACTGTCATAGCTTTCATTGATCTATTTAAGTAATGCATGCATGCCATTTCTTTCCAAGTATGTAAACCTTCAAGTTGTTTATGCATGCATATAGTATGCAGGGTGACAAGAAGTAGCATTGTAGACTCTTGTAATTAATCAAGTTCCTTAGACTATAATGTGTTGATCACTTTAGACGATCGTGCATGTACAAAGTCAGAGTAGATTTTGTACCCAAAATCTTTCAAACGCATTTTTTCCCCATTTAGTTTGTTTCTAATTAAGCTGTCTAGAGTTGTGTTACTTACATGGACTGTTGCACTGATAAATTTGTTATGGGTCAAATTACGTATGAAGTCTTTGTACTATAGTATTTTGTTCAATTTAGTCCGTGTACATTTATTATATTCAATTTAGTCTATCTATTTTAAAAAATAGTGAAACTAAGGACAATTGTTCTAATTTTATTAGGAACATGGTTGTAATTATTTATTTTGAACATACTAATTTAATATATTGATGGTAAAAATAATTAATTTTAAATATTTATAAAATAATATACGAGTAGGAATATAAATATCGTTAGCGCCACGTAAACTAAGTTAAAAGTAATATTAACACCATTAACTATTGTCTTTAATTACACCACTTTTGAAAGTACAGGGATTAAATTGAATCAAATAAAAGTGTAAAAACTAAATTGAACAAAAAGTTATAGTATAGGGACCTCGTAGGTACTTTGATCATTTGTTATGATGTTGTAGTCTTCTTCAATTTGAATATATGTTGAGAAAATGAGTTCACGGAAGAAGACACCTTTCCAGAAACACCGTGAAGAGGAAGAGGCTAAGAAAAAGGTAATAATTTGGAACTGTGAAACTTCTACTTTCTAAAATAAAAATGTTTCTTCTTTCTAACCTTTACCGGACATTTGGTTGGAGATGGGGAATTACGTGGAAAAGGAATTGTAATTTCATGGGAGGTGAATTATTGGGAATAAAGTGGAAATTTAAATTCCAGTGTTTGGTTTACAGGAATAGAATTACTGGGAATTTCAATTCCAATGTTTGGTATACTTGGGAATTGAAAGGGAATAAGTAGTATAAAGTCCAAAATGTCCATTGTTATTGTCATGCATTAATTTTAGGTTAAAAAAGGAAGGGGTAATTTTGACTCATCACTATCTTTTTTTTTTCTTCCTAAAATCCCAGGAATTAAAATCACAAGGGGGAACATGGGATTTTAATTCCATGAAAATGGGGGAATTGCAATTCTTTTCAATGAGATTCTGTTAACAACTGCGTTTGGTTGGAGGGGGGGAATTATGTGGGAAAGGAATTGTAATTCCATGGGAGTTGAATTACTGGGAATAAAGTGGGAATTTAAATTCCAATGTTTGGTATACATGGGAATTGAAAGGGAATAAGTAGTATAAAGTCAAAAATGTCCATTATTGTTGTTAGACATTAATTTTAGGTTAAAAAATGAAGGGATAATTTTGACTCATCACTATCTTTTTTTCCCAGGAATTAAAATACCAGGGGGGGGACATGAGATTTTAATTCCATGAAAATGAGGGAATTGCAATTCCATGGAATTGCAATTCCCTCCAACCAAACTACGGAATTTAATAGCCTTTGGAATTAGATGGGAATTAAGTGGGAAGGGAATTTAAAATCCCTCCAACCAAACGCCCTGTAAACGTAGAGTCCCAGGATTACAATAATACAGTAAAGGAAATATCCTATACAATAGGCTACAAATATGCTATGACTAATTGTATCCACTTATGTACCTAATATATCTAGTACACCCCCTCAAACACAAGGTGAGTCGGAGACAACATTGAGCTTGTCGCGAAGTAGTCCAAAACGTTGTGATGGCAGAGGCTTGGTGAAGATATCCGCCAATTGATCCTTTGTAGATACAAAATTCACCTGAAAATCCCCAGCAACAGCCTTGTCACGGACGAAGTGGAAGTCAATTTCAACATGTTTAGTCCTTGCATGGAACACAGGATTAGCACATAAATAGGTGGCCCCAAGATTGTCACACCAAAGTGTCGCTGGACGCCCCGAGTGAAGGCCAAGTTCCCGCAGTAGAGATACAACCCGTAACTTCAGCCGAAACGTCTGCTAATCCCTTGTATTCAGCTTTAGTAGAGGAGCGAGCAACGGTCTTCTATTTCCGAGACACCCATGAAACCAAGTTAGTGCCCAGGAACACCGCATACCTACTCGTGGATTCACGATCCATCGGGCAACCAGCCCAATCCGAGTCCGAGAAGGTATGGATATCATCAGTCGAAGAAGAGGGCGACAGTCGCAACCCATAGGTTAAGGTCCCTTTGACATAGCGAAGGACCCGCTTGAGGAGACCCCAGTACTCGACAGTCGGTGTTCACCCCCTAAATCAGACTGTATGGCCTTGATAGAACAAGAAACCGACCGTTCTACCGAAGCCCGAAAAATATCAAAGATTTTATATATGTCGGTTTTTACACGTAACGGGTAATACCAGCAAAAACGACTACTATCGTCTACGAATAAAATGAAATAACAGAAGCCATCGGCCGAAATAACAGGTGCCGGGCCCCAAATGTCCGTATAAATAAGATCTAAGACATTACAACTGGAAGTTTTTATCCTATCTAGGGGAAACCGACAAGATTTGCCAAGTTGGCAAGGTGCACATAGACGTGGTGAACCCGACTTATTTGGAACGACTGGACACTCCCGGAGGACACGTTGTAGGGCACGATCATGTGGGTGGCCTAACCAACGATGCCAAACCACGGGCGAGGCACGAGCAGACAGGAAGACCATATGCGACCGCGGAACTGACAACTGGTACAAACCACCCGTACCGGGACCTTTAAGAAGCACCGCCTTGGTGCTGCAATCCTTAACCAAAAAAAAAACGAAGGGTGGAATTCAAAAAAGACGTTGTTATCCTTTGTGAACCGATAAACAGATAATAGTGAAACAGACAAATTTGGCACATGTAAAATATCGGACATATGTAATAGAAGTTTCAGAGGCAACTAGCGAGCTACGAGTTCAACATGAGGTCTCTGCGCAAATTCGTGGAGATCATCATGGATACGGAGCTCACGGAACGCTCGGTTCTGATTCTCGCCGCCGCCTAACGTTCTTGATCTTTAGGATATTCTGCAGAGGTTTGCGTTCGGGTACAACCCGGAATATCTCTTATTGTGTCTCCCGTAGGCTAAATTCGCAGTGGCGTTTGAAGAATCATATCTGTGCAGATTACTAGCAAGCGGTTCAACTCTATTGTCCCCTTGATTTGGAAAATTGAACGTCGGGTCGGAGAAGAAGCTCCGGGAAGTTGTCGACGAGGTCCGGGAATTCGCAAGAATAATGATTAGAGAGAAGCAAGAGATGTGGGGAGAAACCCAAATCGTCCGTTGATTCTCTTGACCTCTTGTCTAGTTCTTGACTTCCGGCCACTCCGACAAGAACTCCATTGGGTTAATACTAAGGAAACGACCATTTTAATCCCTCCACAAACGACTAAGAGACGGATGGATAACAGAAAGACCATTGGTAGAACAGATTAGAAAGTCAAGTGTCTTTTTTGTCCAAATTAATAGTCGATTAATTTTGAAAAATCACAATAGTCGAAGATTGTAGGAATTAACTCTTTATTTAATTATCTAAAAGTGTATAGTGGGTCCTCTAAATTGATATTAGTTTTAAATTTTTTTAACTTATTAAATAAAAACTTTATTTATTTTTAATTTGCCATAAGACACCCATCTTTTCTATCTTTCTCGTTTGGATCTTGTATGCTTCTCCTTGCTAGGATGTTACTTACAAATGTGTTTGTTGGGTCCTAAATAACAATCCCAGGGGTTCCCATCAAAATCATTCATTTCGATCAAGTGCTATACAGCCTCCTTTCTTTTCAAAAAATAAAAATAAAAATAAAAAATTGCACACAAATGACACAATCAAACATAATTTGCAGCAAAAGGCAATAGGTACATATATTAGGATACACAACATTTGCCCGGAGCTTAGCTCATTGGTTCAGTAGACTGTATTTGGAAGAAGAAGAATGATACACAACATTTCATTCCCACATTTTTAGCCCAGTTACGTGGTAGTGGGGTTATATACCAACTTTTTTAACTGAAGGAGGCCATGATAATCTGCGGCTCTCAACCTCTCCATGTTCACTACTTGACACTTCTTGCTGCTCGTTTTCTTGCCTCAGACTTCTAATGGCCAAATCATCAAAACTTGTTTCGGTTCTCCAGGGTGGAGGAGTCACAAAATCTGAATTCCTTGGTCCCCTTTGCGATGGATCCTTGCTGCTGCTTGGTGACGAAGGATGCCCGACCCTTAAAGCTTGAAGTGTGGCAAACGACTCCCTCATTGCTGACATGGCTTCAAAGAATCTGGTGCATGATGCCAGAGCAACTGGAATCGGGCGAAGCATTTCCTACATTGATTGGATTTGACATAAGTTAAAACCCCATTAAGTGTTAAACCAACTGGAACAAAAACAAATACAGAAATCCATCATATCAGTCAGCTGGGTGTGAACAACACCTACGCTTGCAATAAAAACCTTATACGCATTTCCTACCTGGACCTGGTTCATGCTTTTTGATCCGTTCAATACAACTGATAGAGTAATATCTAATTTTCATTTCCAAAAAAGCCATAGTTTCACAGAACTGAATAGAGAATTCTACACCCCCAAACTTGTAACAAGAGATGATAAAGGAAACAGACCCTCCCATTCTATTTCTTTCTTCTTTTTTTTTTTTAGTTAGACCACGAGGTGTCCTGAGTAGGCCCTAACTATAGGAGGCATCTTTAACCCTGTACCATACTCAGACTAGGCCCTATTTCTTTCTTGATGACAACTTTAGGAGGTATAAATTATATGCTTGATTTTGATGCTTTCACAAGGCAACAAAGAAATATGCTAATGATGTATACAAAACAATGTGAATATTCCAACTATAATTGTAAAAGAAGAAGCAGCAGCAGCAACAAGAGTAATAAGGATTGACGTACTGCCCATATTGTTGGTGGATCTTTAAAATTCTGGCTCCATTGGAAATCTGCGACAGATGCCGTGAGTGCACTGTAATCGCTGGCAGCTCTCATAAGCAGCTCAGAAAATTGTTTCTGCAAAGATTCTCACTGGCATCAGGCCTAAAAAATATATCAGGAATCATGTACTTTGTTGGGGTAAAGAACCTTTAGTTGAATTAAAGATCTGAGATTCATATGATGGAGATTTAAAAAAAAAAAAAAAAAAAAAAAAAAAAAAAAAAAAAAAAAAAACGAAGTAAAAAGATGTCTTCTAGGATATAAGTTATGTAGCGATATTTTACAAACAAGCAGTAATAAAAATTTTCATAAATGTGTGTAAATTGTAATACTCAAGTGACAATATCAATGCCAGATTGCAAGATAAAAAGTGTGTAATTCAATTTCATAAATAATGAAAACCTGATATTCTGCTTCCACCGGAATGCAATCCAATGAATATGGTTGTTGAAGCCGAGCAATTATCCGGTCCTATAACCATAGAATAATATTTGAGAAGAGGGTATTGCACCAAAAGAGAAAAAAGATCAGAACACTTGCATGATGGAGAAAATCAGGCAGATGGTGAGAAGACGGGATTTCACCATAGTTCACTATCTAATGAAATAGCTCTCACAGAGTCACAGGTCACCAAGAAAATTTACCAATACCGTAACTAGTAATAGGACCTCACCATTCTTTTAGTGGCCACTTTAGTGCTTCACCAGAATGATTTAAACCAGTAAATCATAACCACAGATTGTCCAATAGGTCAAACTATGTTGAAGTACTGGCCTACTGGGAATGATATGTCAAACTGTCTAAGAACATCAATTTTTAGTTTTTATTTATTTGTACATGCACCTCACTGAATACATATATATAAACTAAAGTTTGCTGTAATTACATATATTATCTCAAAGCTGGGTTTCTAATGTGTCTCTTCCTAATTCTCAAGAAATCATGCATATACCAATAACGGATTCATCAACTACATTATTCCTTCAGATTTTGAAATACTTTCTTATTTTTGACTTAACATCTAGGTTTGATCTCGTCCTCAAAACAGCGATAGAACTATTTCAACAGTGCTGCAGGGGATCAACCCCCTTCCCCTTCACCATCCAGTAACAATGGAAGATGTAACCACAACTTATTGTTTACTAATAATATTAATAATTCTGGAGGCACCAAATGAGAGCACAAAAGAAGTTGTGTATCCTTGCATAAGTACATAAAGAGATTCCCCACAAAAAAGTAAAACATATATACTTATCCAAAAAAAAAAAAAAAGGAATATCAAATGATTGAAAACAAAGTGGCAGGAATAGGCAAATGTAGCAAGTAGAAGTATTACCTTGTTCTGAATAACATCTTTCAATATAGTAGTGATCCTGGCCAAAGTCTCAATCTTTTTTTCCATTTCACTAACATGTGTTAGATGGGCAACATTCTTGTCCTCCTAAAATTGACAAACAATTAAACAAAATTCATCGTCTAACACAAAGTGACAAATCTCATTTCATGAGATAAATTTTCCACGATACTATGTGAATTACAATCTTATTCATCCAAATGAGAGAAAATTAGAACTTCAATTAATCAAATTGGTCCAGAACCCAAACTAGAGTTAAGATGGCAAAATTTATTATTAATATTTTTTTTTTAAGCCAGACATGAAACTTGGAAAATGTTGGTCGGCACATGTGCTCATAGAAACCATTGAATATAAGATTGGTTCTCAAGGTTAGCTGACCAATCAACTGGCTACTAATGGAAATGAAAATCAGGAAACTGGTTCACATGTTGGTGGCAGAGATGTGAGAGAGGGAGGGGGGAATTCGGATAATTCATGAAATTAGGACTTGCAAAGACAAGAAGCCTCAGTTTCAATTTCTTGTGTAATCATGAACTCATGAAAGAAGCCTTGACTTCTATCTATAGTTTAATAATATTCTACATGGTTTAGTGACCAGATGACTTGGAAAGGTGAAATATAATAACATATAAGAAACTCTCCAAGACAGTTACCAGATTTACAGGGAGGCAAACTTTTTATCTATCTTATCTATATAACACGAGCTTAATATTATTAGCACTCCCCTCAAGTTAGAGCATAAATATCATGTACTCACATTTTTTAGAAACTAATTCCACTTGTTCTCCCAACAAGGCATAGAGCTTGCTTGGCTCAAAAACACCAAGTAGAGCAGAGGGAATAGATGGGGATTAATAGTACTACCCCTCCCTTCTTTAGTCCAATCACATTTGTTGGGATTGAAAGTGGCCTGTCGCCCAATGCCAAACCCTAACATGGTATTTCAGGGGATTTTTAGTCTGATCCATTTCAATCCCATGAACCAAGCAACATCATAGTAAGTAAATGTAAAGCTAAGGACCAAAGACTAGTCTCTTAAATAAGGGCACATAAACCTAAAAATAGGCCTGAGGATTTACCAGCTGCACTACCATCCCAAAGGTATTTAAGGACTTATGAGGTTCTATAGGAAATGGAATCATATGTAATCATGTTCATTTAGGCAACAATTAAGATATTAATTCTGATGTTCTACTTCTGTGATCTGTCAATGTATAGATTGTGGGCAATACTATGCAAGCAATAAACCAACACATACAAGTACAATAGAAAGCTATATCAGGTAGTATCACCTTTCTACCCTGAAGCTCTACTTGCAAGTCTGCTATTTTTCTTTGGACAGCAGTAAGCTCCTTCAAAACCCTTATCAAGTCATCACTTTTTTCACCAGAGCCACTGGACAAACTTTGGATCTCCTCCTAAACCACAATAAAATGAAAATCAGAATCGGCATTCATTCGATAACTCATAGATACAGACATTCAAGAAAAGATAACCCAAAACGAACATTAACGTACAAGAGAATAGAAAGCTGAAACAATTACAACCTAAATTGTTCTCCATGTTATGATGTCTTCATATTAAGTGAAATTTAGCTAAAGATGAAGCACTTTTACAGCTTCTTTTTGTACATAAAATAATCTTACATTGTACTTCACGAATCAACGATTCAGGAATCGGGTTTATCGATCACAAGTACAGAAATGGGTTTGCGATGGATTACCTGGGAAGGAGGGGGAGAGACGGCGAAGCCCAGATCGGCGGCAATAGAAAGGGCATCTGACATCCCACCGAGGCGTCTCACTGGTTTCCGTCCGACCCATGTTGAGTCGCTTCCCATCATCGAACTTTCTGTCTCTCTCTCCCTCCGTCGTTACCTAGTGGAACTTTGACTTTGCAGAGTTTATTTTTCTGGTTGGTTGGGTTGAGAATTTGAATTTTGTTTTGAGTGTACACGAATATGTTAGCTCACACATCATTTTTGAATGGTAAAGATGTCTCATACATTCTTGTTCGTGTAAGGAATCGGCTCAAAATAAAAATTAAGAAAATGGTTAAATAGGCTCCTGAATTTTATTTAAAAAAGTTAATTAGACATTTAAATTTTTAAAAGTTGTAAATAAACTCATAAACATATTACTTTGAAGTATTGAAGTCGAGAAACCGATTAGTAACTTGTAATTACATGTTACCTAATCGACAACCCTTCCACCATTTTTTTGCCACAGTCATCGGAGATCGGGATTTTGCAGAGTTTATTTTCTCTTATTATAAATATAAATAACAAGCACTTGTCAATATTACTTATAAAGGAAAATTAGTTCTGGACTGTTGAGATTCAATTCATCCGTTACGGAATTAATTTTTTATTAATTCCAATTTTATTTTTGAATTAAATCTCAACATAATGGTGGCCGTTTCAGGTGCTACAACTCGTGCATTAAATGCTAAATTAAATGCTATTGATTCTTCACCCCCTATATAAGACTGTAGTTGGAACAGCAGATTTTAAAATAAAAAAATAAAAAAATAAAAAAAGCACAAGCATAACAAGAGAGTGACAAGGATGAAAGAAGAAACACAACGCACAGAAAGCACAATTTCTTCTCCAAAACTCTGCTCCTACTCCTTTCTTTGCCTAACTGTGTTCAAGGCTTTACTCTAGTTCGCCGGGTTCGTTCGTTTGGGTGCTCAAACGTCGAACCGTAGCACGTTTTATTCTGGAAAACCTAGGCCACAACGCTCCTAGCACTTTTGGAATGTGACAAATAAGGTTTTAAGGAAATAGTGATCTCTTGACTCGCGCTAAATACCCTATACCCATACACGAGCCATCTTTTCCTTCTTTCGGTTTGGATTATGCTTCTAAGCAAAAATACTCTCTTTATTTGATATAGTAGTTGGATTGAAATTATAATCTGATGATTATAAGTTCCAATTTTGGTTGATATATATTGGTATATCTTTTTCGTAGATATATATGTATATATAACATGTGGGTCCGTTTTATATATATTTGTGTGTATATTTCGGATATATATCAAATAGTATTTTATATATTTTCGTGTGTATATATAAATACTATTTTGGGATATTAAATCAATTTTAAATCATTATCACAACAATACTCCACCACTATACTACAATGACTAATGCGGCACATCAAGGCAGTCACTTATGTTGGTGATAATGAACCAAAATCGATTTAATATCCTAAAAATAATATTTATATATACACACACAAGTATATAAAATATTATTGGATATTTATCCGAAATATATATATACACACAAATATATATAAAACGGACCTAAAGGTTATATATACATGTATATCTACGAAAAAGATATACCAATATATATCAACCAAAATTGGAACCAATAATCCTCAGATTTTAAGTCCAATCCAACGAATATATCAAAAGAGGGAGTACGGATTTTTGCTTAAAAGCATAATCCAAAACAAGAAAAGAGGATAAGGAGGAAAGAAAAGTACGAGTTAGGCAAAGTGTCTGTCTTTCCTTAAAACCTTATTTGTCACCTTCCAAAAGTGCTAGGAGCGTTGTGGCCTAGGTTTTCCAGGATAAAACGTACAACGGTTCGACGTTTGAGCACCCAAACGAACGAACCCGGCGAACAAGAGCACGGGCAAAACACAGTAGCAAGAAAGGAGTAGGAGCAGAGTTTTGAGAAGAAAAGGTGCTTATCGTTGTGTGTTGTGTCTTTCTTCACGTTGTTTCTCACTTTCTCACTATCATTCTGTGTCAAAAAGGTTGCTCCCACAACATGTTTATATAGGAGATTGGTACTAAATAGCATCATCATGACACATTAACCAACATAAATTCAATTTAAAAATTGAATTATAACGTTTGAAACGGTCGTACTTATTATCGAAATAATATCAACGGTCACGAACTTAATATATGATTAATTCGTACCGACCATAACGACTCGTTTCAAAAATATCTGAGTGACTGAGAAGTCCGTACAAATCCGAAAGTTTAACGAATTGGGACCGAAAACCACACCTGAGTGGTCCGCAAGCACCGAAACGGTGCGGTACGAATCAATGCATATAGCATTGACTCGTGCTGCTCCTACGAAAGGAGCATGAAAGGAGCCTAAGCCAAAGATTATTACTTCGTGCTCCAAAACCAAAGGCACCGAAACCAAAGCTTCTGCATGCATCTTTCGTCCCAATTCCATTTCGTGCTAACAAATTAGCACATTAATTAAGCTTCCCAAAAGCTTATTCTCAAGCTTGACAACTCGTGTTGTCACTCTAATTAAGCTTAATCTTAAGCTTTAAGCTTTCTAAGCTTAATTTGACGTACTTCTCTCAATTAGGTTCACTTTGAGAATCAATTTCTCATTCACCTATTACCCATTTTGAGCGTACATTATATCAAATTCATCGTCTCACTACGAAGAACCCGAATCTACCTTGACCCGACCCAAATCGGAAGTGAATCCCACATATATTTGTACCACAAAATAATAACTCAAAATGTCATTTTAATGCTATTTTTCCAACAACTTATTCCTATTTCGAGTAAACGCAATCCAATGTGAGCATGTAGCCGTAAATATTATCGTGGAGAGCATACGATAAAGCTTCACACAGTTGTTTGAGTCTTCAGTATTATTTGGTTACGAACATAGGTCATATTCGCTCATACATCGATATGCGATCGATGGTTGCAGATCATTTATGTCTACTTTCTTGTGTTGTTTATTAAAGTTCGTCCTAGTTCAGCTAATTTAATAGCTCATACTTTAGCTTCTATAGCTTTTGCTCAGACTACTGCTTTTTATTGAGATTCTATCCCTCCTGACTCTGTTTTAGTTTATCTTTAATGTATGCCGTTGTTGATTGCTTTCAAAAAAAAAAATATCAATTACATTAATTTAACTTGTTGAAATTGAGCTTCTATACGTCAAAATGCATTTACCTTTGTTATTTCTTACAATTCCAAATATATGTCTTTATACTCGTTATTCCTTACAATTCCAAATCTAACCAAACAATAGAATTAGTATTCCTAGTAATTCATTTTCCACCAACCAAACAATGAAATTCATCTTCCTAGTAATTGTTTTTCTATGAAATTTCAATTCCACTCCCCTTAAAATATTTTTCGCGAACCAAACGAGTCCTTAAGAGTTTATTATCTTGTTATATTTAAAGGTTAAAATAACACAATATACTCATACCCTTAAATGTCATTTTACCTTCAATCAACTACTAGTAAATAACTAATTTACCAAATAGTTTTTTCTAACCAAGCTAGCGCAATCAGCCATCAACTACTAGCTAAACCAATCAGCTATCAGCCGTTTGCCAATAACCAGAAGTAATTAGCATTCAACATGACATTAATCTCAATTCTAAAATCATATCAAATAGTAAATCATATTTGGGAGAAGATGAGAAAGAAGAAGTAATTAGCATTCAACATGACATTAATCTCAATTCTAAAATCAAATAGTAACTCATCTTTAATGTGATATTATATTAATTTTGGTGTTACATAATTTTTTTATTTTTTTTAGGAATGGTGTTACATAAAACTGGAAATTCTGGGATAAAACAACCACATGGACGAAGGAATTTTTATAGTTAGGTTGTAAGTACGAGTCGAGTTGCACTCTGTCCTTAAAATCTTATTTGCTGCCTCCCTTGATGTTAGGAACATTGCAGCTTAGGTTTCCCAGGATAAAACACAGGATAAAACATACTACAGTTCTAAGTTTTAAGCACTCAAACTTAGAGCCCGGCGAACTAGAACGTGGGAAGAACACATAACGTAGAGAAGAAAAGAGGAGCAAAACTAGTCTGGAATTAATAACAACAAACAAAGAATTGTGGCTTACTAGTTAGCATTCCTTGCGCACAAAATAGAGCCTCTATACTATATAATTCAATATGCTTTAGAAAGGCACTTATATAAATAGTTGTGCAAACCCACTTTCCAAATCAATGTGGAAAAAGGCTACTTCAAATGGGTTACTTTGAGAATCAATTTCTCATTCACCCATTATCCGTTTTGAGCGTACAATATATCAATCTCTTCGTCTTACTACGAAGAACCCGAATCTATTTTGACCCGACCCAAATCACAAGTAGAACCTTCTAATATTTGTACCACAAAATAACCACTTAAAATGCCATTTTCAAACTATTTTTCCATCACAATAATCATATCAAATTAAAAAATAATCCATGACAAAGTGCCAACGTTTAGCGCATGCACACACCATCAAATAATGTATAGAGCACTGGTTGCTTAACTTATTACAAAAACACCACATGCAGATCGATTAGGTCGGGCTATGATCCGATCAAGATTGGCGAAGAAAAACTGCATCGGCATTTCCATCACAACAATAAAGACAAGGATGCTGTGGGAGTTGTAATTTCTTGATAACCTTCCTGGCCAACAAAACCACTTCCCTATTACTAAGAGGACCAGGATGCTCCTTCAACACAGTCTCCACGGCATAGCTGAACGCCCCACGGGGCGGCTGCCCTTCTTTGGTGGGCACGTCTCGGCTCACCTCGTTAGCCTGACACCCACTCAGCAAGATCCCCTCGTCCGCCTCGAGAGGCTCCGGCCGCTTGTCGGCCTGCTTGAAGCTGAGGCTGGCGTGGTCGCCGAAGAGCTCCAGGTGGTGCGGCGCGATATCCCGTGCGGCTAAGTTTGTGATGGACGAGAGATGGCGCAAGAGGAATTCGAAAGGAACGGATTTTGCTTGCGCGTTTGGCGGCGGTGTGGGGATTTCTTCGTTGCCGCAGGTGGGATGGTCGCACGGCCCGATCTGCTCTTTCTCTTTGTCGATCAGCCCGCCGCTGTGGCAGGAATCGGAGAGGATCGTGAACGTCGCTCCTTTCGGCACGCCCTTCACTATCTGCCGAAAATCCACACCTGCAAAAGATATTTTTAACTCTTAAAAATGAAGAATTGTGAATTAAAATAATATAACAAATAAATAATCAAATGCTATTGATTATATTATTCCTATGATCATAAAGAAAATGTCCAAAAATATATTTAATATTTACTGCTAAAGCATACACCTCTAACAAATTTTACTTAGTTTCTTAAGAGTTAGACAAATAAAACTTAATTTCATGAAATGCTATACAATACTTAGGGAGTAAGTTCTATTAGTATATGCTTGATTTTTTAAAAATTCAAAATTTCTATTTTCCTCCCTTAAAATCTTAATTTATTATACGTCCTTTTTACATTGAAAATTGCGTGCTATTTTTTCCACATAATTTATCCCAAATGTTCACTTCCGTAACACTACTTCTAAAGTTTTTTTTTTGAAGATACTATTTCTAAAGTTCTAATAATGAAATTTTTTTGATTGACTTCATGATAAGTTAACTAAATAATAAATATCAAAATTAAAAAGGGTTTGTGATGAATTAAAGTAATTAAACACAAAAAGAGTTCATTTGGATAATGACACGTTAAAATGTGAAAATAAATAAATATCTTTCGATTTGATTTTATTTATATAATTTAGTTAATGAAACTTAATTCAATTATTTATAATTTAATATTTTTAATATTTAATATATATTGAAAATGTTATTGAACATCAAAAGTTAAATAAAAAATTATTAAAAATATTTTTAAAATAATTAATAAATTATCGTAGTCAATAAATAATAAAAAAGAATAAAAATGAGACAAAGACGGAAGGTAGTGATTGTTTTTTTCTCTTAATTATTATTTTTTAAATAAAATTTAAACAAAGCTGGACTTTGATTGGACCCATAAAAGGAACCTTTATTAATCATAAAAGTAAAATGCGGGGCAGTTGTGTTTTCCCTCGTGCCCCTCGCGCACCACCAAATAAATAAATAACTGCTCGTGCTCCTCGTGCGCTAAAACACTCACCAATTACTGCCTTTCTGGTTAGAGGTTTTTCTATATATATATTTTTTTAAAACTTTAATAAATAAAATTATTTTTAATATTATTATAAATATTTTTATATTCTAAATAAAATAATTAAAATGTTTAATTATACAATTTTACTCTTTTTTAAAAAATTAACCAAACACATTAAGACAGTTTTTCAGAATGCAATCAAACACGGACAAATGAAACTATTTTCTTGAAAATTTCTCATTTTTTAGAAAATATTTTCCAGAAATTATTTTCCTGATTTTCAAACACACCTTATCATATTTAATCATTTTTTTTTAAAGTACACTCTAACCTATTTTAGCATTTACTCAACAAATTATGTTGATTCTTGATTGAGATGAGACTCGAACTCAGGACCCTTAATCATTTTCTTTTATTTTGTGACATTACATCATTAACTTTTATTTATTTCTTAAAAGGCAAAAACTTGTGTCAGTCCATCTTACAAATTCTTATTCATGAGACGGATCAGATCAATATAAAAATTTAATACTTATACTGAAAAATATAATACTACGTAATAATCAGAAATAAAGCATTTTTTATTTATAATAGAAAGTGTAATATTTGTGAAGAAAAATATAATACATTTACATTTTGAATTAAAAGTGTTATTTATTCATAGTATTATATTATTCCGTATAAATATTACATTCAATTTTGACCCATCAGATCCAACCCACCAATAAAAATTTATGAAAGAATCTCAAGAATAAGGATACGATCTATCACTCTTCCTAAAATTAGGCCTCCTTTCAAAGTTTTTCTAGTTCATGATTTCATCAAGTTAACTAAAAATGTAATAAAAAGTGAAGGAGGAGGGGGTGGATTATATTGCTTACTAGTGATGACATTGAGATCCTGGCCAAGAATAGCTTCTTCATTGAGGCTCTCGATCAAAATCCCATGGCCACTGAAGTGGAAGAACAGGACATCCCCGGGCTCGGATCGGGCCACCATCCGAAGCAGCGTTGACTTGATATTGGCCGCCGTGGGCAACACCGGGCTCCCCTCCTCATCCGTCAGCACTTCGATGCAGTCCGGCTTGAACCCGAACCGGGAAATCAGAACTTCCTTCATCGCCAACACATCATTGCGGCATCCATTCAACTTGAATACTGCGTTGTTCTCGTAATTGCAGCCCACCAAGACCGCCATCCTCTTCATGCTCTTCTTCTGCTCTGTTTCCATTTGGACCTGGCCTGGGCGATGCAACAACCACTACTTCAAACTAATCCCAGTCGTCTCTGATTCTTGGAAGTGAACTTAAGCTTCTCTATAATGTAATATTCTATTCTTGGGGATGAAGGGCTTGAAATTTATATATAGCGGAAAGCTAGATACAAATGAAGTAGATCTAAGGGCAAATTATTGTGTGGACCATGAATGTCGTTTTGGTGTTTAAGATAATGTATTTTATGACTTAGAATAATATACTTTGTAATACTTGTAATTATTTTGATATAAGGGATTTAGTCTTTTAAATTAGCCCAAATTCTCCTAGTGAAATTTAATGAATAGTTATGCTGTGCATCCGTATGCACCATGCATGGTGCATACGGATGCAAAAACGACGTCGTTTTATTAAAAACGCGCGTCTCTCTTTTTTTTTTTTTTTTTTTTAAAAAATCAGGTTCGATTCCTAGCAACAGCATTATGTTGTTCATTCATTATGGAATTTTAGTTCATAGATTATGGAATTATAGTTCATTGATTATCGAATTATAGTTCATCAATTCTGGAATTGTAGTTCATCGATTCTGAAATTGTAGTTCATCGATTATGAGATTTTAGTTCATAGATTCTGAAATTTTTAGTTCATAGATTAAATTATGAAATTATAGTTCATCGATTATGGAATTATAGTTCATCGATTCTGGAATTTTAGTTCATATGTTGTTGCTGGGAATCGAACCTGATTTTTTTTTTTAAAGGGGAGACGCGCATTTTATTAAAACGACGTCGTTTTTGCATCCGTATGCACCATGCATGGTGCATACGGATGCAGAACATAATTTGCCAAATTTAATTCCCTAGCCTATATAAATTTAATTAAAGCCCAATTTCCTAAGAATAAAATACCTTTGGACCTTAGCTTTAATTCTATTTATAATATATTTATAATCTTCTTGCTCAATTTGTATGGCGGCATTAGCTCATGCTTGTTATAAGAATTAAATAGTCCATTTATATTACAATATCCATCCTTATAATTATGTGGCAAATTATACCGTGCACCAGGGCGTACAATGCATTGTGCGCTCTTACTCAAAATGACGTTGTTTTGTACATTTTTTCGCGTGTTTGTTGTTAATTCCTTAAAAAAAATCATGTTTAGAATGTACAGAATTGTATAATAGAAAATACAGAATTTTATACCTGAAAACACAGAAATTTTATAATTGAAAATCCTCATGTTTCGAATGTACAAAATTATATAATAGAAAACACAGAATTTTATAATTGAAAATTCCCATGTTTCGAATGTACAGAATTATATAATAGAAAACACAGAATTTTATACCTAAAAACACATAATCTTTTTTAAAAGGATAAAAATCCCCTATTTCGAATGTACCAAATTTTATACCTGAAAACATAAAATTTTATAACAGTATACAAAACGACGTCGTTTTGAGAAGCGCGGGTACACATTACTATGTGCGCCCTGGTGCACGATATAACGATTGTAATTATGTCTTTGACCTAATATATACACTACCTTGTATCTAATGTTTTTGTCCTAAGAATCCCTACAAATACTATCCTTACACTCTACTATATTCCACGCCATTTTCCCCTCCAAATACAAGAAAAATAGTCATCATCTTCTACAAGAGAAAACTCCATTAAAACTACTCTTTTATGCATCTTTCCTACAAAATAAAGTAAGATCATCTCTCACCTTGCATTTTCCCTTCATATTTCATAGTCTTTAATGCATGTTCTTAATCTTCCTACATTGGGATTTTGGGATTCCTAGAGGTTCAAGATGGAGATAAGTTGCTAGGTTGATGCTTGGTGTTTGAGGATTGGTTTGCTAAGCTTAAAAGGTAAACTTCATGTCTATCAAAACCTATTTCCAACTTATATAAATGTTCTTCTATTTCTTGGAAATCCCTGAGTATATTCTTGATGTTGATCTTGATATATCTCTTGCTCTTGAGCATATTTGGTGTTGTTCTTGAGCTATAATGTCTATCCTTGATTTCCCTTTGAGTTAGTGCCATCCTAGTATTGTTGGTATGAATTTCTTGTTGAGTTGTAGCCTATGTTATGTTGAAATAACATCACTATTGTCTTTTGCTGAGCTTACTGTTTCTGTTCAGATTTTGGCCCTGCGGGCATTTCTCGCGGGCATGTGATGCCCGTGAGGGACACCCGCAAGGTATCTTACAAGGGTGTGTGGCAGGTGTTGTTTGCCCATTGCACATGCTCACCCCCTTGGTGCGGTAGTGCCCCGCGGGTATCATATCCCCCTGGCATATGACCGTGAGGTTTTGAGTGATTTTCAAGATGCACTCTTTGATTCCCCCTGCATTGTTGCTTGGACTTTGGTGCATTGGCAGTATTTCTTGTTATTTTGTGAACTCTTTGCCCGTTTGAATTGTGATTCTCCCACGAGTCCTTGTTCCTTGATATCAATTGATTCTTGAGTGACTTGATGGTATATATATGTATACACTTCCTTGAATATATATTGTATATTTGGATCAGTGGAATTGGAGAGCTTCGGCTCCACTTTGTTCGGCGGAAGAAGCTTAGGCTTCACTTTGGTGGATAAGGTTGGACTGGTGTACATGTTGGACTATTGTACAGGTTGAACTTTTGGCGTAAAGGTTGGATTGGAGTTTTGTTGGATATTGTATTGAATTGATATTGACTACCTCCTTATTGTTATATATATATATATATATATATATATATATATATATATATATATATATATATATATATATATATATATATATATGATTCCTTGACTATGTATATATATCATTATGCTTTGATTGATGAGAGAACTCTTGGAACTCTATCTTGTTCATGTTGTGGTATTGATCTCTTGAATCTAAGTTGAATTGAGTTGATTCCCCGTTGACTTTCTTGAATTGCAGTAATTTGAGTATTCTATTGATTGAGTTTAGTGCCCCTAGAATATATATATATATATATATATATATATATATATATATAGTCATACCATTGCAAAATCTATTTTGAGTACAAAAGTATGCTTATGTATCTTTACATGTTTGAGTGGGTTTACTTAGCATTATTCGCTAATATATTTAAAATGTATTTTAGGTATGGAGTAGACTTGCTTTTGAGAGCGCGGTAGTTTGAGTATAGACTCGTACCTCTAGTTGGCTTTGTTATCTTTGTTTAGACTTTGGGCTATGAGCATTTTTGAATCTTTGATGTTGTAATAAGTAGGTACTGCCTTGTAAATTTGGATTTGTGGATAGAACCTTGTAGCCTGTGCACTTGGGTTTTGGTTGGCCCAAGTGTGACATAACACCCTAGTGAGTTTAAAATTTTGAATTCGCTTTCGTATTTTTATGGGGTTTCGGTATTTAGAAATTGAGGGTGTTACATTATGTGTTAAAATAATAAAATTTCTAGGGTAAGATAATGTATTTTATGAGTGAAAATAATTATTTTATGTGTTAGAATAATGTATTTTATGAGTTAGAATAATGTATAATAAACTATATATTTGAATAATGAAACTTCTGGGGGTAAGATAATGTATTTTATGAGTTAGAAAAATGTACTTTATGGGTTAAATTATATATTTTATTAATTACAATAATATACTTTATGTGATTTTGAACCGTTCATACGGCTATATGGAGTACATCCATGCAATAATGATTCATCTCAAAGTGAATTATTGGTTTTGATCTAACGGCAAATCGACACCACGTGTTTGGTAATCGTTATACCATGGACGCTGAACCTATACGACGTCGCTTTGAACTTTAATTTTAACGGAGACCGTTTGTTTTTTCAGCTCGCTTTACAGAGTTTTTTTGTTTCTTTTAATACTGTAAAGCATGCTTTGGTGCATTGTGTTATGCGTTTCTGTGTATTATGTTACGAAATTCTGTACATTAAGCATAAGGGTTCAGTACATGAAATTGATTAGTAGTTGTATAACACAAAACACATTGTATATCTTATTTTTTACGAATTTATGTCTTATATTATGCAATTATGTGCCTATATGACATTAATCATTTACATAAATAAGATCTGAGAATAAGTAAAATAGAAAACATGTGTATGTATTTCATGTTATGCGTTTTTGTGCATTATGTTTCGAAATTCTGTACATTAAGCATACAGATTCTGTAGATGAAATTGATTAGTAGTTGTATAATAGAAAACACATTGTATGTCTTATTTTACGAATTTATGTCTTATATTATGCAATTATGTGCCTATCAGCCTATATGACATAAATTATTTACACAAATCGGATATGAGAATAAGTAAAATAGAAAAAATGTGTGTGTGTATATATATATATATATATATATATATATATATATATATATATATATATGTGTGTGTGTGTGTGTGTGTGTGTGTGTGTGTGTGTGTGTGTGTGTGTGTGTATATATATATATATATATATATATATATATATATATATATATATATATATATATATATATATATATATATATATACACACACACACACACACACACACACACACACACACACATATATATATATATATATATATATATATATATATATATATATATATATATATATATATATATATATATATATATATATATATATATATATAGAAGAGCGCTCATATGCGGCGGGGTCTTACGGTGCGGCGGTGCGGTCAAATTCCAGAATACACCAACAGTGTTAACAATATGCACCAACAGTGTAATAAAAATACACCCCAATGAAATGTAATAAAACATCACAAAATACACCACAGACTCAAAAAAACACACCATATAACTCACCACCCCCAATGGTGTATTTCCGAACAGTGTATGGTGTTTTTACTCACACCTAATGGTGTGTGTTTGGTGATGCAGGGCTCTGTTTACTCTGTTTTGTGTGGTGTATTTCCTAACGTTGATGGTGCATATTTGGTGAACTATTGGTGTTGCCGCACCGTAAGAAACAACCGCACCGTAAGACACTGCCGCACCTGAACCCGCCTATATATATATATATATATATATATATATATATATATATATATATATATATATATATGTATGTATATAGGGTTGCATTCACATGCAAACACCCTTAAAATACAAACATGAGGACAAATATGGGCCATAAGATTTGAGTAGATTAACGGATAAGATATAAGGAAAAAATTATTAGATAATCATA